GGGTGGGGGTGGGGTGGGGGGGTCAGATGGGTCTTTGTCTCAGATACTGAGACCTCCCATCCTGATGATCCAGTATATGTGTCCTGAACGATGATCTTCAGGTTCTACAGACTGTTCTCTGATGCTCCATGATCAGATTTAAGAATACTATGTCCTCTGCTCAGACATCCTCTCTCTGTCTGTCCTCAGATGAGGATCGTGTGTAAAGACGTGCCGGCAGAGACGCTGTACGACGTCCTCCATGACACCAGCTACCGCAGGAAGTGGGACACCAACATGATCGACACGTATGACATCGGCAGACTGACCGTGAACGCAGACGTCGGATATTACTCCTGTCAGTGAAGCTCTGCAGCTCTGTGTGTTCATCCTTCACCTCTCTGTATTAATCTGTTAATGTGTGTGTGTGTGTGTGTGTGTGTGTGTATCCTTCACGCTCTCTGTATTATCTGTTTAATGTGGTGTGTGTGTGTGTGTGTGTGTGATGTGTTTGTGTGTGTGTTGTGTGTGTGAGCAGTGTGTTGTGAAGGGTAAAATGTCCGAGTCCTCTGAAGAACAGAGACTTTGTGACAATGAGATCTTGGCTTCCCCTGGGCAACGACTTCCTGATCATCACTCTCTTGTCAAAAACCGTGTCAGTGTCTCGTCTTTTCATTTTGGCGTTTGGTTTGGAGTAAGCAGGGGACCACCCAGAGAACTTTAAACCTCACCTGGACTCACCTGGGTTCACTGTTCTCATTTGTCAACGTTATATATGAAAGGGTTCATGAGGTTCTAGTCCTGCAGGTGATTCGGAGAGAGCAGTGGACTAACCTTTGACCTGTCTGTGTTTGCGCTGAACAGAACACCCTCCTAAGAAGGACTAACGTCCGCGCTGTGTCCCTGCTCAACTGGATACCTTGATCCAGTCCAATGGAGCCAACTGCTCCACCCTGTACTACCTGACCCAGGTGGACCCCAGAGGTGAGGGGACAACACTGACCTTTACCACTGTCTTTAAACGCAGCACAACACACCCTCATCTTCAGCAGTCAAGTCACCTGGTAATAAACCAGTAAATCCAGTAGCCCAGATCTATGTGGTGTGTGTGTGTGTGATGTGGGGTGGTGTGGTGTGTTGTGTGTGTGTGTGTGTGTGTGTTGTATGTGTTTGTGTGTGTGTGTGTGTGTGTTGTGTGTGTGTGTGTTGTGTGTGTGTGTTGTGTGTGTGTGTGTGTGTTTGTGTGTGTGTGTTGTTGGTGTGTTGTGTGTGTGTGTGTGTGTGTGTTTGGTGTGTGTGTTTGTGTGTGTGTGTGTGTGTGTCTGTCACTGTCTCTGTTTGTGTGTGTAGTGTGTGTGTGTGTGTGTGTGTCTGTTTGTGTTAGCTCATTGTACATTCACACAAATACAGAACTCAGTCTTATATTCTTTTTTTATTTTAGCGTAACGTCCTGTTCTCCTGTCCTGTTCCCTCTTGTCCCTGTCTCTGTCGCCTGTCTCTGTCCCTGTCTCGTCCCTGTCTCTATCCCTGTCTCTGTCCCTGTCTCGAGTGCTCTGTCCTGTCTCTGTCCCTGTCTCTTCCGCTGTCTCTATCCCTGTCTCTGTCACTGTCTCTGTCCTGTCTCTATCCTGTCTCTATCCCTTGTCTCTGTCCCTTCTCTGTCCCTGTCTCTATCCCTGTCCTCTGTCCCTGTCTCTATCCCTGTCTCTATCCCTGTCACTCTGTCCTGTCTCTATCCCTGTCTCTTCCCTGTCCTTTCTATCGCCTGTCTCTGTCCCTGTCTCTTCCCTGTCTCTGTCCCTGTCTCGCATATCCTGTCCTGTCTGTGTCACTGTCTCTGTCCCTGTCTCTGTCCTGTCTCTATCCCTGTCTCTTCCGCTGTCTCTGTCACCTGTCTCTTCCCTGTCCTCTTGTCCCCTGTCTCTACTTCACTGTCTCTAATCCCTGTGTCCTGTCGTGTCTTGTCTGTCCTGGTCTCTGTCACTGTCTCTGTCCCTGTCTCTATCCCTGTTCCCTTGTCTCTGTCCACTGGTCTCTATCCCTGTCTCTGTCCCTGTCTCTGTCCTTGTCTCTGTCCCTGTCCTTGTCTTTGTCCCTGTCCTGTTTCATGTCCCTGGTCTCTGTCCTGTCGCAGGCGTCCTACCAAAGTGGGTGGTGAACAGAGTCGTCTCCAGTTTGGTGGCTTCCAAAGGTAAAATCATCACTTTCTGAGGCAGTGAAAGTCAAACAGATCCTTGTCTTATCAGGTATAAAGAGCTCTGTTCTCTGGTGTCTCCTCTCCTCTCAGGCGATGAGGAAGATCTACAAGGCCGTCTCTGAAGTATCCGGACTGGAAGAAGAAGCACAACCCGACCCTGAGCCATGGATGTTTCCGGAGGCAGAACACGCTGCCAATGTCATTCAAGCAGCATTGGAGCTGACGCTGCAGCGAGCCGACTCCCTGGAGAACATCGAGAGTAGTGGTGTGAGCGAGGAGAAGACGCACCAACAGCGACGACGAAGACACTTAGACACGCAAACTGATGTTCCTCTGCTTTATGTTGTGTGTGTTTTGGAAATTCCAAAGAAATTCACACTGATCAGAACAGGAACCAGACTGCACCTGAACTGGTTCTGTATCGTTGGTTTCAATGGTTTCAATTGTTCCAATGGTTCTTTGGTTCTGGTTGGTTCCAATGGTTCTGTTGGTTTCAATGGTTTCAGTGGTTCCAATGGTTCCAATGGTTCCAATGGTTCTTTTGGTTCTGCTGGATCCGGTGGTCCCAACCAACCAACAGCTTTAACCCATTCATACCGGATGCCTAACGCAGCGCAACATTGTTGATTCCTCGTCATTTTCATGATTATATTTATACATATTTTACATATTTATATGCTGCATGCGTCATGAAAGTGACGAGGAATCAAACAATGCTGCGCCTATACGCAGCAACCTCGGCCGGAGGGGCAATTTGTGCTAGCTGACAGTATCCGGTATAAATGGGTTAAAAACAGTTCTTCATGTGGTTTTCATAGTCCGGCCCTGATTCTGGGTCTGATCTGGGGTCAGCTTCCTGGCTGCTGTAGCATTTAGCTGCTAACCATCAGATGCTAACAGTTGTAGGGGGTGGGGAGTGAGTGTCACATGATCCAAAGATGTTGATGATCCAAACATGTTACAAGCATGTTGCAGCAATAAATGAATAACTTCTGTCATGTGACACATTTACAAAAGAGACTCTAATTCCATTGATAGATGATAACAACTGGTCATGTGGCACAACTTTCCACTCACCTTAAGTGTTCTTCCCCAATCCCCTGACCGCCCTCACCTCCTGAACCCTGACCTCCTGACCCACTTCAACTCCTAACCCTTGACCTCTGACCCCTGGACCTCCTGCCCCACACCGCCCTAACCTCCTGACCCTGACCTTGATTTCAGGCCTCCTGTGGCAGCATGTTACTTGTTCTCTGAGTGAAAGAAATCATAATATTTGCTGTTGAATATCAGCTGACGATGTTTGAATAAAAGTGTGAAAGATGTTTAAGATTTTACCTTTCATGGTTTAACCTTAAAGTCTGTTTGTTTAATGTAGAGAAAAGGTGTAACATCAGGTGTTGTGTGTGTGTGTATGTGTGTGTGTGTGTGTGTGTGTGTGTGTGTGCACCTGTATGTAAGTCTGCAGCTCCTCCCCAGTGACAAACAACTTCACTACAACCTGAACTGTGACCAGTGTGAGGTATACGAACTGCTGCTTCAACGAGTCGGCCTGTTTAAACATCTGAAGTGTGTGTGTGTGGTGTGTGTGCAGCAGGTTCAGTGTCAGTGTGGTCTGTCTTCACTGAGAAGTGAATCAAACATAGAGAGGAGGCATCTTCCCATAATCTATCTTATGTTGTGGTAAACTGATTCTGCTTGAAATCAATAAAGTTCAGATTCAA